AACACAGTGTGCCAGTTACAGTCAGTTGCAATGTGATGTGATTGGGAAGGTTGTAGGGTAGCTAGCAATCCTGTACACAATTCCAGGGACATGAAATGCAGCAGTTTGTTGCAAATTCAGAAATCGATTACTTGGGGATTGAGTGATGTTGCTACAAGGTCTTCTTCCTCCTCCTCTTCATTACTGACTCGAGCACTCTACTGTTCTGATGGTGTTCCTAAGGTTTCTACAATATTGGATTCTGTACTTCTAGTGTTTGGACTATCAGACGTTTCACAGTACAATTGGATTCTAGCAGATCAGTGTGTTCTACTCAATACAGGTACTGGTGCTGACTGTGACTGAGTTGACCTAAGCCCACAGGCTGGTGTCTGAGAAACCTGTTCAGGATGCTAAGAACTGTTGGAACTTGTGTTGTTTAACTATGGAAACCCCCCTCACAGTGGGCTCCAGATGAAACTCCTGTGAAGTGTCTAAGAGAAGATCACAGGTGATTCGTTAAGTTTGAGGGGGGAGCTAAACCACGAGTCTTAGGAGACTAGAGTGGTTCTGAACAGGTGTGAGTTCTTCTAGCACAGTTGCAACCTTGGAAGAGTGATGTGAATAACAGAAAGTGTACTTTGTAAAGCACACAACAAACAATCTGATACAGAAAATGATGAAGACTAAAACTATGCCTCACACTAGAGGACTTTGAGACAAGAGACAAGAGCTAAATCAATGGGTGAACTATCTGAATTCCCCCTGTATCTAGTACATGAGTAGCTGTATTTATAGTTTTCCAAGTTCTAGAAAAGTATAATACTAACAGGGAAGTGTCATGACTGAACAAAAGAAAAATAACAAAATATACAAGAACAAATAAGAGAACCTTTTGCCAGAGGTTGGAAGAAAATAGGGTGAAAATGCATGAGGAAAATTTAAGTGGTCTGCATTCTAGCCACAGGAAATGTTATGCAAAAGGGAAAAGCAAGATTTACATTGAAAGAAATAGAAGGTTCTCATACTGTTATCATCTGATTGGTACAGACAAAGTGTGGAGAGTTCTGAGATTTCTGGCAGTCTCCTGAGATCAACACTTTGATTGCCCCAATGTCCTATCTGATTGGAAGATTGCAGTACTTTGATCTGGGCAATGATGACATAATGGTTTGCTGAGCCACTCACTGTGATGCAACTTGTGTTCTGAGCCTGTGATAAGTATGTGATCTGTACATCCTGTGGAGAAAACAATGTATGTAAGCCAATTCTGAGACTGCACACTCTTGTGGTTCTGTTTGCAAATGCTTACAGTGCAGAATAGTTGGGTGTTCTCAGAGTAGGCTTCTATGAGTCACATGGGTGTTTGGAATTGATTGCTGTGATTGTCTGCATGTGATGTACAGTTCTTAGCATAATGCTGATTGTTTCAGTAGATTATTCCTGGAAGTCATTATTCTGAAATGGAACTGGAATTGGATACATTAAGATAGACTAGAACAACCTGATCCAGAATGTAGAAGAGTAGAAGATGAAGCAGACAAAGGACTACAGGAGTAGGAACCTAGAGGAGAGTCTTACAGAGTTGTAGGAACCAAGGAGGTAGAGGAAGCAGATGACAAAGCAGAAGGTGACAATCTAGAGCTAATAGGGGTTGTGTACAGTATCCACAGTAATAAGACTGAGGGTTT